GCCAAACAGGAACAGACGAGGCAAAGCTACTCTGAGGAAAAGCAGAGAGAGCAGAACGTTAGAGATTGAACTAACAAATCCTGCAGAATAGGAGAATAGAGATAGAATGAAGCAGAATGATGAAAAAGGGGTCCCTATGTCCTCCAGAAGTCTAAACCTATAGCAGCATAACTATAGAGATAGCTCAGGATAACCTGAGCCACTCTAACTAGAAGCTTTATCAAAAAGGAAAGTTTTAAGCCTAGCCTTAAAAGTAGACAGGGTGTCTGCCTCACGGACTAAAACTGGTAGTTGGTTCCACAGGAGAGGAGCCTGAGAACTAAAAGATCTGCCTCCCATTCTACTTTTAGAAATTCTAGGAACCACTAGTAAACCTGCAGATTGAGAGCGAAGTGCTCTGTTAGGATCATAAGGAACAATCAGATCTCTGATATCAGATGGAGCTTGGCCATTTAAGGCTTTATATGTGAGAAGGAGGATTTTAAATTCTATTCTGGATTTAACAGGAAGCCAATGAAGAGAAGCCAGGATAAGAGAGATATGATCTCTCTTTTTCATTTTTATCAGAACTCTGGCTGCAGCATTTTGGATCAGCTGAAGGCTTTCTTTGAGTCATGTTCTTTGACTTCTCCAGCGCTTTCAACACCATCAGACTGGTGCTGCTGAGGGGGAAGCTGGAGGACGCTGGTGTGGACAAGCATCTAGCTGACTGGACCATCAACTACCTCACTGACCGTTCTCAGTACGTGCGGCTGCACGGTGCCAGTCAGAGGTGGCACTCTGCAGCACCGGGGCCCCCCCGGGCACCGTCCTGTCTCCATTTCTTTGCACCCTCTACATCTCGGACTTCACCTACAACACCAACAGCTGCCACCTCCAGAAGTTCTCCGATGACTCGGCCATTGTGGGCTGTGTGTCTAGAGGGGAACGAGCTGGAATACCGGTCGGTCATCATGGACTTTGTGGACTGGTGTGAGAGAAACCATCTGTCTCTAAACATCAGTAAGACCAAGGAGATGGTGATTGACTTCAGGAGAAGACCAACACCCCACCCCCCCGTGAACATCCAGGGGCAGGACATAGAAACTGTGGAGAGTTTCAAATACCTGGGTGTTCACATCAACAATAAACTGGACTGGACTCATAACCACAATAACTCCTGTAAAAACCACTGTGCAACTGTATTATAGTTTTTTATTTATTGACTGTGCAATATTCTGTGCAATATGCTGACTATGCAATATATCTGAATAGAATAGTCATGCCACTACCTCACCATTGCTCCTCACCTACTACACTTTAATGTAAAAGTCAATTCACCTGTATATAAGCCATCCTGATTGTACATATGACACCTCAAATCTCTGTGCTACTCCCTCATACTTTTTCTTTTTTTATTTTCTTATTTTTATTTTGTTTTTCATTGTGTGTGATACATGTACACTTGCACCTTAATCCTTATTTATCTTGATATACTGTATATACCTTGATATATTGTATATACATTGTTTATTCCTAATGCACATTTTTCCTCCTTGTTTGCACCTTCTTTAATTACTATGCCAATATGTGACCAGTGACTGTCTCCGCTGTGAGATCAATAAAACTCATCTAATCTAATCTGTAAGATCATTTGAGGTGAGAACATTATACTTTTAAGCGTCAATATATGGCCCATTTACCGATTTAATGCGTAATTTAAAAAAATGTTCCGAAGTTGAGAGGACCGCCGCAACCAGCAGAGTTCCAAGGCTTACGGCAGCCAGAACTAACCACAGCCCATCTGCAGCAGCCCTCTCTCTGCATAGCTGTGTGTGAAGGACCGCTTGCTCTGATGGTGATTTTTTGTTTTGGCAAAATGTTCATTTGATTTATGTTTATCTCACTGTGTTCATTATTATTCCCCAACTAAATGAAAAGTCAGAATTTATTATTATCTAGAGACTATTAATAACAGGATGAGAAAAGCAGCTTAAGACGAGCAGAGCATGTGGTGACGTCATCAGTACGCTTCTGTTCCAATTGACCAAGATTATTCTGCATGCTCCCATTCTCCCAGAGTCCAGACTTTCCTGCGTTCTTCTCTAGAACATACTTGGCGAGAACACGAGTCAGTAATCGCGTTCTTGTGAACTAAGAAACGGCCACTGACTTCAGACTCTCCTCTCCTTGGAGCCATGCAGTAAAATGCTAACCAACCAATAGGCAGAAGTCTCTAAGAAGACTCTAAGACACACCCTCCTTATTTACATAATGAGGCAGAAATGTAAAAACGACAGGCAGTAATAGTGTTGAAAAAGAGAGGGTACAAAAATACTCAGGAAGAATAAAAAAAGATTAAAATATTATGAAAAGGAACATAAATAAATACTTAAAAAATATGTAATAAATAAATAAATTTAAAGATTATAATGGACAATAAATAAATAAGGTTAATTATTACAAAGGCGAATAAATAAGGAAGCTAATTAAAAGAGATATATACATTTATGTCTCGCTGTATAATTTAAGTTCTACCTATTTATTTGTTTATCTTGTTTGGAGGGGCAATTAATTGCATGCTTACATATTTATTGTGCATCTATTTATTTTTAAATATGGCAGAGTTGGTCTTCCATAGGTCTGACATAGTGGAAAAATTGCAAATCTTTTGGAAGGTAAGCTTGTATGAGCGATGCAAACAGCAAGTTTTAAACAGAGCGTGCACAAGGAGAAATTAGCTCATGCACACTCAGGGTTGTGCATATGCATTTTTTTAATTAAAGTTAAGAGGGTGAGTCTTTTCAAAAATCATGAAAATCCTCCACAATGCATGGGAACAGAGGGGGATCTCTGTTCCCATGCATAGAAATGTCTGTGGCATGCACTCACTTAACGTAGGCCTACGTAATCCTACAATAACATTATATTTACAGTTGATTTATTAAAAATGCTTTTCAGTAAAAGTCAACAGCAATAACTCCAATAACAAACAATAATTTTATTCAAAATGTATTTACTGGTATTAAAAATGCTTAACAATTCCTGTAATGAATGAATAGCACAATGAAAGAAATAATGTCTCATCATCGGGATTTGCTCCATGATCAGAGGAAATGTTACTTGGGCCCGAACAGTGGTGAAAATTGGAAGTTCAGTTTAATATAATACAACTCTGTGAATAGTTCCATCTGAGATGAAGGAAAATAGATGTTTTAATGGTTATAGAGTCCGATATGTGGCGGTAATGTTTGGTTTATTTAAAGCTTTTTATCTGTTACTGTGTAAATGGGTTTGGCTGTAATTTAAGGACAGATTCTAATATATCTGCAGGGTGGGAACTATAAATCTGATAGGAGATAAATTTTTTTATTGCTGTTTTGCACAATATGCTTAAGTAAGTATTTTTTGATTTTGAATATTAGAGATTTTGCAGATATATTTTGTACATACATTGTTTAGATTTACTTATATATTTCTAACCCTTTTATGGAATAGAACATCTCTTTATTGTCCCACAATGGGCAAATTTACAGCAGCAGAAAGATTATTAAAAATTGTCACACAAATGTGGACCTTAGAAAAATGTATAAGAATAACATAATAGGGAAGAGTTAAAATATAAACAATTCAATTCTGTAAAGTGTTTTAACAATATAAAACTGGAGAATTAATAACCAATAAGCAGCTATGGACATTTTTCCAGGAATTGTTATGTGAAAATAGCAGCAACATCAGAGATGTGCAGAATGACAGCAGCATCTTATTTAACTGACTAAGGTTTCTATCATTACATTTGCTTTTATTTGTTCCTGCTCCCGCTGGTTGGAACCTTTATTCCACTCTGGAGTCTTGTGAGTGTATTCTTTGTTCACTTTAACTTTTTAAAAAATAAATAAATAAACAAACAGTTTTGAAAACCTCGGTATTCATTCTTTTCCTGCTTTGTGTGTCAACTCTCACGGTTGCTAAGCAACAGAGCATACGGCGGTAAAACCCGCCGAAGGGTGGACCTGTTCGAATTTACAGCCAGAACTCTTCTGGCCTCCTTATTTTCAAGGACTTCAAAGAATCCAGTCTAGGAAGACCGCGTTCTTGGAGGATGCAGCCCAGGATTTCGAACAGAGCCTCTGATTAAGAACAGGGCTGCCCGCACTGACGCGGCTCAGGGATTACGTCACACGCAGCGTCAAAAAAATCAGGACATTTCCTCACTTTCTAAAAAAAACCCGGGACGCCCGGGACAGGACGTGAAATATGGATATGTCCCGGGAAATACGGACGTTTGGTCACCCTAGTGTAGTCAGAGTGATGAGGCAGATGGTGCACTGAGGATGCTCTTGTTAACCTGGATTCATCTGTTTCTGTTAGTTAGCAGTCTTAAATACCATAGAAATTATAGATCAGAGCAGTAATAGATCATTGGTGCCTTCAGTGGAACAGATGTGGAGCTAAAGGAGGAATCCAGCGCTCCGAGTCCATTCCTGTTAACCTGGATCCTCTGGTTTTACACTTTGCTAGAATCAATCTGATGATGCAGATGAGCTGACTCATTATTTTCTGCAGAGTAACGATGACCTCAGATCAGAAAAGGAGATTTGAAGCAGAAATGTCAGGCTGCTGAAAGTTCTGTTCATTTCTGTGCTCTCAGTAGCGGGTCTGGGCTCCTTTGCATGAATGACTGCATCAATGTGGCGTGGCATGGAGGAGATCAGCCTGTGGTTCTGATCAGGTCCAATGGAAGTCCAGCTTGCTTTGATAGCAGCCTTCAGATCACCTGCATTGTTGGTTCTGCTGTTTCTCATCTTCCTCCATAGATTCAATTCAATTCATAAAATACTTTATTAATCCAGAAGGGAAATTAAATGTTGCGTCAACTCATAGGGTTTCATTTTAAGCAGTTGTTGTAGGTGTTGATGCAGTAGGCAAATAATTTTTCTAAATTTTTATTCCTTATTTTTTCACTATTTTAGTTTTAACCTGTCTCTCCAGTTGCTTTAACATGTAATTAATTCTTTCAGATTGAATGGCTACAGTTTGTCAGAGATCAGCTGTGCTTCTCTGGGCTCAGCTCTGAAGTCCAACCCCTCCCATCTGACAGAACTGGACCTGAGCAACAACGACCTGATGGATGGTGGAGTGAAGAAGCTCTATGGTTTTCTCCAGTCTCCCCTCTGCAAACTACAGACACTGAGGTCAGTCACCATGTTTTAGTTTAGTGCTGATTTTTTCTGATGGTAAAGTTGTGTTGACTCTAAACTGCAGACATAAGGCTGATATTCTACTGATCCACACTGAGGATCTTCAGGCTAAAGTCTGATTTCTTCTTCACTGCTTTGATCCAGTTAAAGTTTATTTCTTTTTTAAACTTCCTCTTATGATATATTTAATAATAAGCAGGAAACATTAAACAATGAGCTGAATTTCAGTGTGGGGTTGCAGCATTATCCAGAACTATTTTCTCTCTTCTATAAATGGGTGCACTGCGAGAAAATAATTTCCTTCCAGGGATTATTAAAGTAATTTTGATTCTATTTTTTTTTTATAATTTAATCCCTCTTTCCAGAGGGAAAATAATGTTCTTATAGTTTACTAATTTGATCAATTGGTGCATTCAAACCAAACACTAAACCAGTGAAAATGTCGCCAGGTTTGTCTGCTTCTGCTTGCTGTGAAATGTTCCTGGCCAGTGAAAGCAGCCTTTGATAGAGTGGGTCATAATATCCTGTTATCTGGTTTGGAGCATTAGGTGGGGATCAGAGGAAGAGCAGGGCAGTGCACATTTTGTGTCAGTCTGGGAAATTCTTTGTTTTGGAGGCGCTTCAGAGAGCCTACCTTTACACCTGGGCTGTCTGGATCATTCTGTAAAACCAATGGCCACAAACTGAGGTTTTAAAATGGACAGCCATCTTAACTTTGACAACTTTGACAAAGTTTAGCTGCTGTCAAATCCAATTTGTCCCGAGAAACTCCCTACAACATTAAAAAAAGGAGTTTTGTTATAATCCAGATCCAGTGAAGGCAACACAGGCATGAGGCTGTCATGGTTCTGTTATGGTCTGGTTGTCACATTCTGCTATTTTAAAGCACCTCCTTCTCTCACACCGCTCAGCCTCTACTGCCTCACCAATAGGTCACACCTGTTTAGCACAAATTATTCTAGACCAGGGGTGCTCAAGTCCAGTCCTCAAGAGCTACCATCCTTTAACTTTTAGATGCATGTCTTCTCTAACACACCTGAATCAAAAGGCTCAATCCCCTGATTTAGCCCAGCAGAGGCATGGTAACGAGCCTCTCATCTGATTCAGGTGTGTTAAATATGGGGTGCATCAAAAAGTTGCAGGATAGTAGCTCTTGAGGACTGGACTTGAGCAGCCCTGGTCTAGACTCACTCCACCTGCCAGCCTCTCTACCGAAGCCTCCCTCAGTTAGCTCTTCCCCGCTGGTTCATATTCAGTCACTACAGATTCCACACCTTGCCAGTCAGGTTCAGGTTTTCATTGCTGCACTGCTGGATCTTAGCCTTTTGCCCTGTTAACTTTATCGTCTGCACCTAGATTTTACAGCAGCTCAGTGATACTCTCTGTGGTCCTGTGGACTCATTACAGACTCTGCTCACCAAGAACTCTGGGGATAACTACAGCTGATGCTCACAACAACGCTTCCATCTTTAGTCCAGTACAGCCTCTGGTTACCTTCATCCATAATTCATTACCTTCGATAAACCCTCAAGACTAGCTCTGTGTGTGTGTGCATTCTGGGTTCAACTAGAAAAATTATGACAGAGCCTATGACCAAAGAGGAGTTTTCTGGAAGCAGCACTCATCCATGTTTTATTAGCTCTCAGTGCTGATACCTTTTAGAGTTGTCACAGAGCAGAGTTGGCATTAAAGAAAGAAGGAAGATAATAATTCCACTATGGTGGCTGGCAGTGGACAGAAAGAGCGACCATGGAACAGGTAAACAAACCTCCCACACACTTTTCAATAGGTGTGTGGTGTGCTTTAAACTTGGAGAAACTCTGCTCTGTCATCCACCTTTGCGCCTAGCTCACGTGCTCCCTTCAGCAGGGTGAAGCTCTCTCCTTTTTGCCCTCCGCTGTCTCTGCATTCAATACTTAATAAACTTTATGTGCTTCCACCTCATGAGAGCAGGTTTGGAAACTTTATTTAATTTCTATAGAAAATTCCTATATCATATCCAAATAAACATTCCATTATCTTATTGTTTATTTGAATAAAGACTCAGATGAAAATAGCACAAAGACCTTCTTGGAATATTGATATCTTTAATTCCTTTTTCTTTAATCAATCGATTTGTGATGTTGGTTATGTTGTGTTATAAAAAGGAAGGTTATAAAAGGAAGTGAAATGCTGGTCCAGACTAATCCAACCTGTGGTGATGTCACAAGTACCTTTCTGTTCCAATTTTACAGATGTGTTCTGCCTGCTTCTGTTTTGCCAGAGCCCAAACTTTTCTATGTTCTCATCAAGAACGGATTTGGCGAGAACAGGGGTTTGATTTCTTCCCTACAGACCGCCAGAGGCGGTGCTTAAAGCACGAATGATCACTTTTGCGCATGCATAGGTTGAGAATCTTATACCAACATAGTCACATGTGACCCCGGTGACACCGGTGAGCCTATATAATCACGTGACAGCGACAGTTCAGTCCCTTTTCATCTTCTCACATGCAGGTTGAACAGGTGGTCAGACACTTTTGCTTGTCGCTGGTAGCCTCTAGACTTAGGTCAGAGCTGCGAGGCTCATCTCTCCCTGCAGAGGCTGCGCAAGCTCTTCACTATACATCTTGGTTTCTTCGTCTGGTAAGTTTTCTTTCTCATCGATGGCGAACGGGAACGCATTTTCACCGCAACCCCCTGTTGCTGGTGCCTCGGAGTTAGCTGACTCCGACCAGCTTGTTAACTACCGTAGCAGCCGCTTTTGGGCTTGCTTTTTTTTTTTACTTTAGCAGCCGCTTTCGGGCTTGCTTTTTTGTTTACTATAGCAGCCGCCTTTGGGCTTGCTTTTTGATCACTATAGCTGCTGCTTTCTGGCTTGCTTTTTTGTTTACTGTAGGAGCCGCTCCCAGGCTTGCTTTTTTGTTTATAGTAGCAGCCGCTTCTGGGCTTGCTTTTCTGTTTACCGTAGCAGCCGCTTCCGGGCTTTATTTTTGTGTACTGTTGCAGCCGTTTTCGGGCCTGCCTATATTACCATCAGGCGGCCGTTTTTCAGCTTGCTTTTTACTTTAACTGCCGAGCTTGGCTAGTCCTCATTGTAGCCTTGCTGCTGGGGAACCCCTGGTGGCATTCTCTGCTCGACCGGGTCTCCCGATCTGTCCGCTGGGTGAGTGTCAAGAGTTGCAATTTCAGCTCCACCTGACCTAGCCCTGTGAGCGTGACATGTTGGACGTGTCTTGCTGTAGAGCTTGTGTGTCCCCTCTCCAGTTGGAGGACGGGCATGTTTTGTGTCCCTCTTGTTTGGGCCTGCATGCCCTAATTGTTCTGTCCTGCCTTTGTCCCTATGTAACGCTGGTTTGGCTGGCCTTTAAGGCGCCAGCAAGCCTTTGAAATGTGTGGCTTCTGAGGCTATGGGGCCTCTACGGAAGAGGAGCAAGAGGAGCCTTAGGATTCCAGTGGGCATATCTGGGCAGGTAGCTCAGCTCGCTTCTGAGCTCGAGGGGATGAAAGCATTAGTCGAGTCCCTTAGGGGCGAGCATGGCGCTAGCCTGACTGGAGACCCTGGCCAAGGACAGAGCATTGGTTGGGAAGTCTCTGCTTTAGATGATGATGCCCTTTCCCTGGCGGCATCTGGCACTGATTTTTGGGATAATATTTACTCCGGCTCACTCCTCACCGAAGTCGCATATCTCTTCTGACTCTCAGTCAGAGGAGGACGGTTCTATAGCAGGCGCTCTGAGAACTGCTCTAGCCCGGTTGCAGCTGGATGCTCCACAGGACCAATCTGTGGCTTCCAGTGCTATCTTTCGGCGTCCTACTACTAGGTCGTCCTTTATGGTTCCCCCATCTGCAGAGTATGTGAGGGAGCTCCATGCCTGTTGGACAGACACTAAGGCCTTCTTGAGGCTGACCTCTGATGGCAGGGCACTGGCGGCCATGCAAAATGCACCCAGTTTTGGCTTGGGCCATATGCTTTCTTTTATAGCCAGCCATAGCTTCCCTCATTGTGGGGCCGGATGAGGCTTTGAGGGCTAATGCAAGGTGCCCTCGTCCTCAGTGCCGTGTCCCTGACGATCTGCACTGTAGAGCATATGACTCTGGGTCTCGTTTGGGGCGACTTGGAAATTCCCTGTCGCATGCTGGGTCTCTCAGCTTCCTTGGAGGGTGTCGCGAGTGATGCACCTACCCAAGGACTGATGGACGCATCCCTCTATGCATTCGCTCATCTGTCGAGGGAGGTTGGATGTGTCCTGTCTACCCTTCTTCAGGCACATCGCCAGGTCTGGCTGGCTCAGTCTCCTCTGACAGAGGCATGTAGAACGACCCTGATGGGCCTTCCAGTGGTTCCTGGGGAGTTGTTTGGCTCCGCTGCACTTGCATCCCTGAAGTGGTCGGCCGAGGCCTTGCGTACCAGGCAGCAGTTGGCCGGTCAGGATGAGTGCAGCGTCCTGCTGGGAGTGCCTCTGTGTCCCTGTCACATATTTATCCTGCCCGGACTACAGCTTGCTTGGTGCAGCCACGGTTTTCTGCAGGGCCTGCTGCAAGGCCTGCCCATGGCCAGTGGGATCCATCTGGAGGTCGGGCTCATGTCGCTCCTCAACCCAGGCGGGCAACTCGGCAACCCTTCCGCCGCCCCGAATGGCAGGAGGGCTCGGAGATGACATCATTGGGCTGGCGGTGGAACACTTTACCCCGGACCAGCTCGGTTGCTGGGCCACTCTTTTTTCCGATCCATATGTGGTGTGTACACTTACCCAGGGTTAGGCACTACAGTTCCGCTGCCGCCCCCCTGTCCCTGGTCAAGTCAGGATGACGGTGATTCATGACCAGGTAAAGGCTCAGGCTCTGAGCCAAGAGATAGACACCTTGCTGGCCAAGGGTGCTATATTGCTTGTTCACCCCCTGCGGGATCCAGGGGGCTGTCACTCGAAGTATTTTATAATTCCGAAAAAGACTGGGGACTCAATTCTGGACCTGAAAGGTCTGAATCTTTTCATGAAATCCATCCCCTTCCAC